AACGAAAATAGGAAAACATCGTGAAGCTGATCCCATTTAATACCTAAAGTGCTGGTCGTCAGATTCTCGTCCAAGTTAAGTTCCTTCATAGTGTCATCCTCTCGGAACATGTGGTGATTTGAATGCCACTTGGCCAAAGTGAAACAGCCACGTCTCAGCACTTCCGTGACTTCGTATTTGATACGAGATATTTCGGCCAGAGTATCGGAACCACAAAGTAGATCGTCAACATAGAATGACGTTTTGACTACACTAGCACCAATAGGATAACTAGCTTCATATGTATCAGCAATGTAGTTGAGGCTCTGCACAGCAAGATAAGGAGCAGATGCCATCCCATACGTCACTGTATTTAATTGGTATGTGCAAACTTCGTCATCGGGCGTACTTCTCCACAATATGCTTTGGAATTTGCTATCGTCTGCATCCACTAGAATTTGACGGTACATCTTCACTATATCAGCTGTAAGTGCGTAATGAAACAAGCGAAAGCGTAAATGCAAGATGTACAGCTCGTTCTGTAGAGTAGGCCCGACGGCTAATATGCCATTAAGCGATTTTTGCGAAGTGTTTTTGCACGAGGCGTCAAAGACAACTCTGAGCTTAGTTGTGGTGCTGGTTGGCTTCANACTGTATTTAATTGGTATGTGCAAACTTCGTCATCGGGCGTACTTCTCCACAATATGCTTTGGAATTTGCTATCGTCTGCATCCACTAGAATTTGACGGTACATCTTCACTATATCAGCTGTAAGTGCGTAATGAAACAAGCGAAAGCGTAAATGCAAGATGTACAGCTCGTTCTGTAGAGTAGGCCCGACGGCTAATATGCCATTAAGCGATTTTTGCGAAGTGTTTTTGCACGAGGCGTCAAAGACGACTCTGAGCTTAGTTGTGGTGCTGGTTGGCTTCAAGACGTAATGGTGGGGTACATAGTAGTTTGGGGTGTTGAGGTCGACTTTCTCGACTGCGCTCATATGTCCAAGGTCGCGATATTCATCCATAAAGGCGATGTATTGTTGTTTCAGATCATGACAGCGGGCTAACCGGCGCTCCTGAGCAAGGAATCTTCGAAGCGCTGTAGCGTATGATTGACCAAGGCTGTTATGGTCCTCCTTAAATGGCAGCTTGACAACAACCCTTCCCTCGCTGTTTCTATGTACGGTCTGCATGTATTCCCGAACACAATTCTGCTGCTCAGTAGTCCATAGGTCAGCCGTTGATGCCTCATCGAGCTTCCAGAGGCGTTGTAAATTTGCATCCACGGATTCCTCAATAGAAAGAATGCATATTGGAGGCGAAATAGTTGTTGGCCTTTTGTATCGTCCTGAGACGACGCATCCTAATAGGGTCTTCTGCAGTGATGGCAAATCAGAAGCTAACTTTATCTGACCGACAGATAAAATATCGAAAAAGATTTCTGTACCGATGAGTATATCCACATGTGTTGACTTGAAGAAATTGTCATCAGCGAGCTCAATATTGGAAGGCAAGTTCCAAGACGTAATGTCGATTTCAGTCTCTGGCTGGTACGCGATGTGCGAAGTCACATAAAACGACAAAGGTATCTCATAGCCAGATACCCTAGACTTGACAGTGGTTGACGTTTTGTGTTTTATGTTTGTTACCGAATCTCCGATGCTCTGTATCTCAATGCGATGCCTTTCCTTTGGTGGACGCAATTTTTGGGAGAACTCTTCGGTAACAAAGTTTACCTGGGAACATGAGTCGAGTAGCGCCCTACCCAATTGATAGCGGCCACACGCATCTCGTACAAATACCACAGCTGTTGCCAGTATGACTTGGTCTTGTGGCGATTTTTCGCGGTGTGTGTGTGCTGCTGCTGTACATACAGGTTGCATTAATTGCTCGACCAGGGATGTGGAGATCGATGTTGACTGTGCATTATTGGAGCTGGTAGTGCGATGCAAAAGGCTATGGTGTGAACGCGCACAATGTTTACATTTAAATGCCGACGAACAATGTGCTAACTGGTGTTTTGGTGACAGAAAATTCAGGCACAGACCTAGTCGTTTTACCTCCCTAAAGCGATCTGCAACCTCCATCTGTTTAAAACGTGAACAGCTGGCAATCAAATGCTCTGAACTGGAACATAAGACGCAAGAGCGTTTTGTGCACGAAAATGAATAACCCTTACGCGAAGACTTGTTCTTGCTGTCTGGTTTGTTGCCTGGTTTTACGGAGTCACCAAATGCGAGAGTGCCAGATGCGGATTCTAAAAACTGACAGCGACGCTCAAGCACCTTTGCACACTCTTCCCATGTTGGAAGCGTTGTGAAGTCTAATGACTCTTTCCACTTGGTTTGCGTTTCATCATCAACCTTGTCCATTACAAGGTGGATTAGTAATAGATGCGAAATGTTTTTGTCAGAGCCGATTGACAACAGCGAACTATATAGCGCAGACACGTTGTCAATCAAGCTGCGTAACTGAGAAGCATTCTGCCTTGCAGTGGACGGAAGCTCGAACAACGCTTTTATGGTTTCAATGAATATCATTGTGCTGTTGTCGTAGCGAGCCTATCCAGTGTCTTGGGATAGCTCTCGCTGGTGACCTGGAACGCCTTCACAGTCTCCAAAGCCTGTCCTTGCAAACAATTGAGAAGGTGATTGAATTTCTCAATGTTGGTTAGGGCAACTTCCTTGTCGATGAGACTCATAAACGATGAGATAAAATTTTTGTACTCAGAGTACTTTCCGCAGAAGATGGGCAGCTTTAAAGTTGGTAACTTTGAATGCGTGTAAGGCGTAGGTAATGCTGGTTCACGAAATGATGAATTGTGAATATCATCACCGAGCTGCATTTGGATTGATGAGCGAATGCTGACGTACAGGTCTTCCAAATCCCCACGACCGCTGTCATCAGGATCAAGTTTCTCGATTTGCGTCTGATAGCCCAGGCCTTGCTTTAAATAGGATTCTAAAATTCCAAGTCCGCACTTGAGCTCGATGGGTGAAAGTATTTTGCCAGATTTGTTGGCGCTGGCCTCCACAATTGTCCTAATGCGTGACATATTCTTCCGCGTTAGCGAGCGCTGCTCCTTAACTTCCTCCAGCGACATGGTGCCCCACGTTGGGCGCCACAAAAAGTGTACGGGCAAACTAATTTGCTTGTCCGGCGGCAATGCCGAATAAAATAAATACGCGAAAGAGTTCTGCTTAGGATTCAAAATGTAAAAATGCCAGTTTTATTTCTTGTAATGTGCCTATTTATACTCCAAGGTAAATACAAAAGTGCATAACGTTATATGCGTCAATATGTATGCCTGGAAATTCCAAATGCAGTCAAACATATTTACTAATCCACATACATATAGCTATTGTTTTTGGCACACAGTTTTAGTTGCTATTGTTTTCGCAAACTTGTAAACTATATGTATGTAGATCAGTAAATATGTTTGACTGCATTTGGAATTTCCAGGCATACATATTGACGCATATAACGTTATGCACTTTTGTATTTACCTTGGAGTATAAATAGGCACATTACAAGAAATAAAACTGGCATTTTTACATTTTGAATCCTAAGCAGAACTCTTTCGCGTATTTATTTTATTCAGCATTGCCGCCGGNGTCAAACATATTTACTAATCCACATACATATAGCTATTGTTTTTGGCACACAGTTTTAGTTGCTATTGTTTTCGCAAACTTGTAAACTATATGTATGTAGATCAGTAAATATGTTTGACTGCATTTGGAATTTCCAGGCATACATATTGACGCATATAACGTTATGCACTTTAGTATTTACCTTGGAGTATAAATAGGCACATTACAAGAAATAAAACTGGCATTTTTACATTTTGAATCCTAAGCAGAACTCTTTCGCGTATTTATTTTATTCAGCATTGCCGCCGGACAAGCAAATTAGTTTGCCCGTACACTTTTTGGCCAAAGTATTGCGGTAGCATGCGCTGCATCTCGATTGTAGCACAAGTCCGATGCAGCTATAGTAGGATCAAAACCGTCGTCAATTCGGGTGGGCAAAGTATAGACAGCTATGCTCGACTTTTGAGCCAATTGCTGGCCCTTATTGGTACACACGTTTTTAATGCGCTGCGACTGCAGAAAAGTTGCACTGGCATAATATTAAGGCAACATTTTGGTAACGAAAAAAAAAAAGTTAGGCAGCTTTTAGAGAATGAGGAATCTCTTGTTTCCTTTTTGGTTGTTGTTGTTTCCGACAGGGTGGGTGTATGATGTATTATGGAACGAATTTCCGTCATCCCTTGTCAAATTTGGTTTGGAGACATCTTGTTGTTTAATATAAGTACTTACTCGTTGACGTAGCTATTCGCTTTGCTGAAGACATTGGTATCGTAATTGTTTAGTGCAAACAATTTTTAAGCCACTTCACAGCGACGTAGCATGCCGTTTTATAACTCTCAATAAATATTCGTTTGAGGAAGAATATTTGGGAAAATAATTAGACTTCATAATTACTATTATTTCAATTTATTCCGCAATGCAACGTACCACCATCGCAGTCGCTGTTTCGCCCGTTGCATTTATCGACTACCTGGAAGTTGAACAATTACATATAACAATAGGGAAAATTATTTGCAATACTACTATATACTCACGAAACCTCTTCAGCACGCTTACATAATTACCGCATGTCCATTCACTAAATAACCCAACCTTTGTCAAAGGAAAACTCCAACAACCTTTATGTGGAATGTAGATAAAAAAGTTCCACACAAAGCGGCGAACAATGATGGACAACTTTCCAACAGTTCGCTGTATCAACATGGGGGGACCATACTAACGATCATTTTTGTAATTCAATCTTTAATAACTGGCCACGCTTACATAAAAATATGAATATTCTGCAATTCAATTGTTGATTACTGGCCATGCTTACATGAAAATACTTTTTCATTAAAAAGCCCAAAAAACCCTTTTTACAGATATTTCAAGATTTTTATATTAAATACAAAGGTAAATATGACATTCCGTTTCAAATATAAGATAGGAATAACGAAATCATAGCCAGTAGGATGTTAACCTTTTTGGGGGGCAGGTAACATTGTTGGCTGTGAAACTGTCAGAAAGGCGGTAAACCAATATTAGCATATAACACTAAAAGAGAAAGAAAATACAAATTTAAATTATACTCTCAAAATTAGTGGCGGTGGGCACTTTCCACGATTTATGGCCGGGAATAAAAAAAACACGATTTTACTAACACCGGTTTTTACCTCATGAGTGGGCAACTTGCTCGGCAACTTGCTTGGGCAACTTGCTTGTTTGGAGAAAAAAAATATTGATCGTGTAAAGGCAGCTTTAGGTGAATACGATCCACAAAACGATTTGCGTAGCTAATTTACCTTCAGTAAACTATGTTCACACAAATGAATTTTAGGGATATATACAGGGTGTCCCAGAAGTAACGTGCCAAACTTGAGGAGAAGGCTTGTGGCACCTTTCTGAAATCTTTATTAAATGAGCAATTTTTTTATGTAATGTAAAGTTATAGCTCAGTACATTTTTTTTTTCACCCGAGATAGTCAAAGTTGGGGAAGAAAATATCAAAAACTTAAATATCGCAATATAGTCCTAATTTTATAATGGCTCCTTAATATATTTTAACCACATTGCATTTGAGTATGGAGAAGCAACTATCTGAAAGTATGTTACATAAAAAATTTACTAAGTATAGCCTTTTTTGTAGATGCAGTTAAATAAAATACATGAAAAGGCACGATTTTTCTTTAATTCAAAAAAATTTAAATATTTCAAAAACGGTGACACTTTTACCTGAAATTTTTTTGTTTATCAGAGAGCTCACCACCCCACCT